ATTCCTGCTTAATTATTCTCCTGCTCAGGGAAAAGGGAGGCAGAGGAGCCTGGCAGGTTATGTCTCATGGAATGTCTTGGGCTGGAAGGGACCTCTAAAGGTCATCTAGCCCAACCCCCCTAAAATTAGCAGGGACACCTCCAACTAGACCAGACTGCTCAGAGGCCCATCAAGCCCTGAAAGTCTCTGGGGATGGGGCCTCCAGCACCTCCCCAAGAAACACACCAGCCTCATAGTAAAGAACTTCTTCCTAATGCCCAACCTGATGGGTGATAACCTGACTTTTGGCCACAGCAAATATTGCTGTCCCAGGTGGCAGAACTTCTTGAGGGAGAGACCAGAAGTTGGGAGGGTCAGAAAAAGCCTCAAGCTTCCCCTTCTTGGATACCACTCCACCCGGAAGCATGTCAGGCCCATGGGGAAGGGCCTGAGGAGGGGCAGGGGGGCTGCAGGGCCCTCCTTACAGCGTCGTGGCAGGAGGTGTAGACAATGTCCACCGAGGTCATGTTCTCGTCCAGGAAGTGGCGCCGGATGGCGATGGCGTTGCAGCCACAGCAGTTGTCCTCTTCTATGGTGACACTGGGAGCGTAACGGGGACGGGAGGGGCACAGACAGCAACACCTGCTGGGGTGAAAAGCAGCCTTGAGGAAAAGGGGGAGGTGAGAGAGGAAGGGCTGGAACCAAGGGAAAGCCAGACCCTGCGTGTCACTCCGGCATTGATGCTTCCCTGCCCCTGGAGGAGCTCCCCGAGTCCTGCTCCAGCAACCAAAAAGGGACCCTAGGCTCAGCTGTAGTTTTCCTTCTGAGCACCAGAGAGAGCTACAGTGCAACCAATCTCCAAGGAATCAGCACCTGGTGGGCTGGGATCCCTCCTCAAGGGGTGCCCTGCTCCCCAGCACTAAGATCTAGATCTATTTACAACAACAAAAAAAAAAAACAGGTCTAGACTCAATCCGGAACAAAAACCAGAAGCACAGATTGTTTTTCTCTTGATGAGACACTTCAGCACTACAAGTAGTTCCTCCCGAGAAGTTGCCTGAGTCTGTGCAAAAAGCTGAGCCCCAGGGAGGCTCTGGTGGCAGCACCACAAGCAGCTGAAAGCAAACACCTCCAACACCCCTGAGCTGGACTCCAGCACCGCCCCCACGGGGTGAGCACAGCAGGAAAACAGTTAGTGGGAAAGGACACAGCACAAACTCTGGGCAAGTCTTGCTAATGCTTTAAGACAGAACCAAATGGCAGCTCCCTGCAGATCTGGGCTGATCCACCTGAGTTCTGAGCTCCCAGCCAGTTGTTTTGACCCAGTGGGGAAGCACCTTGTGCCAGGTGAGCTCCTTCTGCTGGCTGGTCAGTCTGCACAGGACTGGCAGGATCCTTGGTGCCCCAGAAAGGACAGAGCATATAGGACAGTCTGGTTTATTTAACAGGACAAGCAGAGAAGCAATTGTAAGGAACAGGCTGAGGAGACAGATGTTGGAGTTGGAGGAGAAAGACAATGGAGTATGGAGGCCCAGAGTTATGAGAGATGGAGAGAAAAAGCAGGAGAAGAGGAGGGATAAAGAGAGGGGTGATGAAGAGAAGAGCAGAGGAGGAGGGATAAAGAGAGGAGTGATGAAGGGAAGAGCAGAGGAGGAGGGATAAAGAGAGGAGTGATGAAGGGAAGAGCAGAGGAGGAGGGATAAAGAGAGGGGTGATGAAGAGGAGGATGGATAAAGAGAGGGGTGATGAAGAGAGCAAAGTGATGGAAGAAAGGAGAATTCCAAACCTGGGAGAAACAGAAGGGAAAAGGGAAGGAGGAGGCAGAGTGCTAGCCAGGATGGCCACTCACGAGCAGGATCTGGCCAGGCGACAGAGTCCACATGTGGGATTCCTCATCAGGTAAATGGGCCAGCCATAGGCAGCCAGGGCAAACAGCATGTAGTAACACACCTCTTTGTACCGCTGCATCTCTTGCTGAAAGAGACAAGAGACTCACTAAGGCCTTATTCTCTTGGAGACAGTGAATTTTCCTACTGCTTCCCTCTTTTGTTTTTGCATCAGTTACACCTGTGCACCCTTCTCTCTGAGCACCAGCCTTTTCTCACAGCACCACTGACTGTGGGAGAGCAAGCTGGTTATGCTGGGCAAGATCCTCCCCCTCCCAGGAACAGCTCAGAGTGTCTCTGCCTCTTTTCCTAAGCCCCACCAGCTGTTGAACCAAACTAGAAGTTCTAGGGAACTTCTCCTGCTGCAAAGGAAGGTCATCTTCAGTGGGTTTTGCCCCATCCTACCCCAGTTGAGAAGATCAACTAGGTTTGAGTCCCAAGGTAAACTCTCTAAATATGCTGCTTCCATATTTCACAGGCCATAAGAGGACAATAAAGCCAGTTTGGGCCAACATTCCTCAGTGCTGTCTTCCAAAAGCTCTGCTGACATCTCTCCCCACACACCTAGTCAGAAGGAGGGACAGGCTGAGCATGAGCAGAGCGTTAGCATTGACCATAGAGCAGCCACAAGCGAGTTAAATCCCAGCATAACCTGCTCAGAAATCCTGGGATTGGGTCAGTCTGGCCTCTTGTGTAGCATTATCACCTCATCAAGGGCTTGCCCAGTGAAGGGCTGCACCAGCAGCATGCCAGGAGACAAGCCAAGCTTCATTCCCACAGACCAGAGCGGACTGCAGGCATTCCCATCCCCAGAACTGCTGACAAGCAGCCCCAGGGAGGAAGGTTCCACCTCACTGCAGGCAGCTCCCTGCCCTCAGCAAGATAGAGCCCTGCCTGCTGGGCTCCTCCATCTCTGCTGCTGGCACTTCCATCTGGAGCTCTCCACAACACTCCTGGATGCAACTCTCAACTCCTACCTCTGGCTTTGGAGAAACACCCAGTGCCTTCCCCAGCCAAGTGGAAATGCCACCACTGCCCACAGAGCAGAGGACAAAGTGAAAAAGAAGCAGTAATCTGAAGACAAAAGCCCTCCAGACTGCAAGCCCTGATTTGATATTCTGTTGTACTGATCTCTAAATCCTTTGGTGATTCCAGAGAGGGGCAGAAAGGAGCAAGAAAAGCCACTGAGAAGAAGAGAACAGGGGAGGTGGGGAAGCAGGGGACGTTGCAGGAGCACAGTTCAGTGACTTACCGTGTTTTTCAGATCCAGATACTTGGTGTTCCTGGTCACTGGCATCCCAGACAGAAAAGCTAAAATGTCATTGTTTGCCTGTAAGTCACAAACATACATCAAAATTCTTCTCTGTGACACCAAGACAAAATTCTAGGCCTGAGAAACAAAGCACTGTGTGAGCTGGGATGAGATCCTTGCAGGTATCCCAACCAGTCTCCTCAAATGGTTCCAATTCCACTCATTTCTGATGCCTGAACCCACCTCTGGGGAACACAAACCACCTTCCTCTGCATTGACACTCCTCAAGTACCACTGCCAGTAACAACTTGGGAATTAAAGCTCTTTTCCTGGAAGTTCCTCCTTCACTTTTCCCCAGAAGCTGGAATCTTCTCCACGCTCCCACACAGGAGGAATAATCCTCCCACTCCCCTTCACATACCTGCCACCTCCTTCAAGGCAGTTGCCCATTTTAGGGTCAAGAGCTAAATCTGAACGTGTCACCTGCCTAGAAAAGATGGCAGGTTTCACAAGCTTGACTTGGTGCCAGCGAGGCCCTTGGGAGAATCAGAAGAAGTCACTGAAGAAGCCAGTGTTTTGATTTCACAGCTCAGTGACTGGTGACAGCCCAAGAGAAACAAGGTGGGCAGGGTCATGGAGTTCTCCCACAAGGAGTCACAAGAGCAGCAGCTAACTCAGAGTGGTCACAGGGTTGGAAGGGACCTCTGTAGATCATCCCAAGTCCAACCCACCTGCCAGAGCAGGGTCACCTAGAGTAGGTTGTACAGGGTGGCGGCCAGGCAGGGTTTGAATGTCTCCAGAGAAGGAGACGCCACAGCCTCCCTGGGCAGCCTGTCCCAGGGCTCTGCCACTGTCCCAGTAAAGAGGTTTTCTCTAATGTTCAGCTTGACCCTCCTGTGCTCCAGCTGGTGCCCAGTGCCCCCTGCAGCCCCCTACCCACCTCGTCCAGCACGGCGTTGCGCTTCGCCCGCTGCCGCTGCCGCAGGAGGACCAGCCCGGCGATGATGTCAGAGGGGACAATGTCAAGGTCTCGGAAAAACTCAGCAAAAAGGTAGGCAATCTCAGAGTAGGCATCCTGAAAAATCCAGGGAGAGCAGCTCAGGAGGAGTTTTGGGTGTGGGAAGCCTCAAAACAGGACACAGAATGAGAACCAATGCAGCAGCGATGGCCTCATTTCCGCAGCTCGCTCTCCTAAACCTCCACGAGGTTCCTTCAGGGAACTTCAGGGTCTAATCATATTAATAACTCATTTATTTCACCCTCAGAGGCCTCAGCTGAGACTGAGTTGGTGCTATGCTGGGTGCTTGTGTGTGGGCAAGCAGAACACACCACACCCAGACACAGAGGGAGAGAAAAGCAATGTTTTCACCACTACATTGTAAAGAAGACGAGGTTTGAGCAACCTGGGCTGGTGGGAGGTGTCCCTGCCCATGCAGGGGGGTTGGAACCAGATGATCTTTAAGGCCCCTTCCCACCCAAACATTCTATGATCCAATGAGAACCAAGCAAATCCCAATCCAGTGTCACCAGGGAGTCACCCTTTCTCCTCAAAAGCAATTTCATCTGTACAAAGGCTACTCGGGAAGAACAAACCCACCATGGATTTTTGTCCTCTTGAACAGCCTCTTTGATTGTCACTCCACCCTGGGAACCTCTTGCCCATACTTAACCCAGCCCTCACCAGCCCAGGCACATCAGACAAAGTGACAGCTTTTGAGTCCTGGCCAGGACTTCACCATCACACACTTTGCTACGAGATCTCAAGAGAGTGAATCACAAGAAGCAGATGTCACACACGACTGCTCTTGGTCCTGAAGGAGCTCCCCAAGTTACCAGGCTCTTCCCAGGTTTATCTTGGATTACACCCAAGCAAAAAGGTCTGCAAAGGAAAAACCTGGAAAAAGATCTGAGTCATTGAATCCCCAGAAGAGAAGGTGAGCAGACCCAAAACAGGAAGACATCACAGGAGGGGCAGGACTGGAAGTGACCTGAGAGGGTCAAGTCAAGGCTCTGAAGCAGAGACACAAAGAAGGATATTTTGAGAAGAAATGTAATTTTCCCCTTTGCTCTCGACACAAAGAAGGATATTTTGAGAAGAAATGTTATTTTCCCCTTTACCATAAGAAAAATCCAAGGCCTTAAGCAAGAATGGTTTGGGAGGCTGGAGATGGGCTGGACTGAGACAGCACTGATCTGACCAGCTCAGACCAGCAAGCTTTAAGCCCAGGGTGATCCAGAGGTTGCACCAACAAAAAGTGGGGCTGAGCAAGTGCTGCAGCACCCAACAACGTCAGTATTTTGACTCTTGCCATCACAAAACCTTTCCTCCCAGGGTCTGTCACAGCCTTTTCCTGCCCTTTCAGCCCGTGTTTTCCCAGCCCCCAAAGCCATGGCTCTGCAGGCTGGTCTGAGCTGTGCACTTGAGGAAAGGCTGGTCTGCAGGACCAGGATCTCTCCATCTCTCAGGAAAGTAAATCCTTTCCCTCCCCAGCAGCCTTGCAGGAAATGACCCACATTCTTTTATCTCTGACAAACTCCTAGAGTACAAGATCACTTTCTCTCATGTTTTTACTTGCCTCCAAAAGCAAGTTCAATCACCATTAAGAACGGGGCTGCAGGTGCCAACTGTGCAGGTTTCCATGCCAGCTGTGCATGCCATCCAGCTCTGCACCAGCACAACTGCAGCATCCTTGAAGAACTGACCCCATCCATCTCAGCACAGCTCCTACCAGCACACAAAAAATACAAAGGGCCTCCAAGAAAAGCACCATGAACACCCATTAACCCACAGTGACAGAAACACTCCTTAAAACTGACCCAAAGCCAAGGCCAGGATGGATGTTCAAACATCAATGTCCTGCTCCAAAGGAAGGGGCTTTGCTGGAGCACCTGATATTATATCCTAAGATGGATTATAGTGCCCTGCTACAAACCCTGCAGGCTCTGAGCTTCAGCTCCACATGAACAGCTTCTTGCCCTGCTGCCATGTCCACTCTGCAGAATTATTTTCCAGCCCAGAGGATGATGATCCTTCTGCTAGAACATTTTTTTCCACCAAGATTGGAAGAGACAGCCATGGACTGAGGTCTGACCCGGTGCATACGCATTCATTCCACACACTGTCATGCCAGGACACACTAAGTCAGAGCTTGTTTCTGCAAAGAAAAGAGCCTGGAAATGGCTCAAGCTGAATGTAAAGTGGAAATTCAACAACTCAAGGAGTTGGAAGATTCTGGGATCTGCTTTTCTCCTGAACTGAAAAGAGAAGTAGAAACGGTCACTCCAGAATGAAGAGTTGGTTTAAAAAGCAAATAGAAAAAGGCTTGAGACAAAGTGAAATATTTTGCATTCCTGAATAAAACAGTTGTTCAGAAATCAGGCCTCTGGGATGCCTGGGTCTCCAGCCAGGCTGCAGCACCCACACTGCACCCTCAGGACCAGTGTCCCTGGGTACCTGGGCAGGGTGACCTGGCTGTGCTGTCAGGGGGAAGGTGCCTCTGCTGTGGTGAAAGAGAAAAGAACCCCTGAGGAAATGCTGCTGTTGGAGCTGCCCTGACACAAAGCTTGTTCCTTTCCAGTTTTTCAGATGGATTTTCCTCAGGAGCTCTAGCAGATGATCTGTGAGAGCTGGTAGTTCTGGGCTAGGGCTTCTCAGCAGGTTGGGGCTGGGACATTCCCTAGGAAGGTGGTGGCATTACAGGCAGTGCTGCAGGAACTGCCACTGGGAGCAGGAGGGTGCCACCACCCAGCCTGGATTTCTGCACAAAGGCTGTGACAACTCCAGCCACACTCTGGAAACTGCATCACAGGGAACACCACACAGCACCTACCAACCCACCCTTTCACTGCTCATCCTGGTTGCCACCTGTGAGGAGCACAGAGGTAGCCTTCACCTGACTCTCCACTATCCCTACAGTTCTTCATCTTATTACATCTTTCCCTCTTGAGGTTGAAATCCCAGTTTCATTTCCCTCCCTCTCCAAGTCCATATCCCCTCCAAAATCCTCCTTTTTGAGCCACATCTTGTAGGAGACCAACCACCAGGCTATATTTAGTGAGGACATCACTGATCTGGTCCCTTGGTGTTTTCCCTGTCATTTTCTGTGCCCTTCTACTGAAGCTTTTCTGATTGTTTGGCTGCTGCTGTGCACTGATGGCCTTGGTGAAGTGTCCTTGACAACTCCTACCTCTTTTCCTGAGAGGTTGTCCCTAATTCAGAGCCCACTGCATACAAGTAATGGAAATTGTTTCTTCAGATGTGCACACATCACCAACACTGTCTTTATGCCTTTCTTCTACCTTTGGTGACAACCCTCTGCTTGTCCTTGGTCTCTCAAGAGGTCTCAAATAGTCATAATTCTGATCAACTGAAACATCATGAGTCATCAGCAAAATTTCCCCTCCTAGGACACATGGAGGACAAGACTAGTTCTGGCAGCCACCACCCATCTGGGCAACCTGGGCCAGGGTCTCACCACCCTCCCAGGGAAGAAGTTTCTCCTCATGTCCAACCTACATCTTCCCTCTTCCAGTTTCAAGCCATTCCCCCTCACCCCATCCCTCCCTGCCCTTGTCCCAAGCCCCTCCCCAGCTTTCCTGGAGCCCCTTCAGGCACTGGAAGGTGCTCCAAGGTCTCCCTGGAGCCTTTTCTTCTCCAGGCTGAACATCCTAACTCTCCCAGCCTGTCTCCAGAGCAGGGCTGCTCCAGCCCTCAGATCATTTCTGTGTCCTCCTCTGGACTCTTTCCAAGAGCTCCCTGTCCTTTCTGTGTTGGGGACCCCAGAGCTGGACCCAGCCCTGCAAAGGGGTCTCATCAGAGTGGAGCAGAGGGGGACACAATGCCCTCCCTTGACCTGCTGGCCATGCTTCCTTCAATGCAGCCCAAGACATGGTTGTTTTCTGGACTCCAGCACACACTGGCAGCCCATGTTGAGCTTCTCATCAATCAGTACCCCCAAGTCCTTCTCCTCAGAACTGCTCTCAATCCATTCTCCACCCAGCCTGGCTTTATACTTGGGATTGCCCCTACCAAGAAACTCACACTTGACCTCCTTGAACTTTGTGAGGCTGGCACAGGCCCACCCCAAGCTCATCACACACAGGCTGAAGAGCAGGAACCTCAGGTGCTGCCGAGTCCCACGTGTCCCCAGCTATGCCCACAGTTTGCTCTGGCAGGAGCTCCTGGTACCTACCGACTGGGAGTCCTTTGTGCGGGTGCAGCAGAGGAAGACCTTGAGGCGGCGTGTCCAGCTGCTGGCCTGGCCCTCCTCCAGCCTGTGCCTGCAAGGCAAGGGGACAGCAGCCACGTGAGGACAGGCAGAGAGCACAGCTACAGGCACAGCACAGAGCCACAGGGTGCCTGGGGCTGCAAGGGACCTCTGCAGAGCATCTCACCCAACCCCCCTGCCAGAGCAGGATCCCCTAGAGCAGATCCCACAGGAACACGTCCCGGTGGGGTTGGAATGTCTCCAGGGATGGAGACTCCACAACTTCCCTGTTCCAGGGCTCTGGCACCCTCAGAGTCAAGAAGTATTTTCTTATAATTAGGTTAAACCACCAGTTTACTAGTTTGTGCCCATTGCCCCTTGTCCTGTCACTGGATACCACTGAAAAAAGTCTGACTCCACCCTCCTGACACCCCCTGGAGATACTTGTAAGCACTGATGAGATCCCCCCTCAGTCTTCTCTCCAGCTGAACAGTCCCAGCTCTCCCAGCCTTTCCCCACTGGGCAGATGCTCCAGTCCCCTCAGTATCTCAGTGGCCCTGGGCTGGACCAGTAGCTCCTTGTCCTTCATGACCTGTGGAGCCCAGAACTGGATGCAAACAGTAGGATCCAACACCAAGTCACACAACCTACACTACAACTGGTAAATGTGTCTTAAACCATATTCTTATATTTATTCTGGTCTAGCAGAGAGGAAGAGACCACAGAGGTTAGGCTGAGAGACCTGGGGCTGTTCAGTCTGGAGAGGAGAAGACTGAGAGGGAATCTTAGGAATGTTTACAACATCTGAAGGATGGGTGACAAGGAGAAGGGGCCAGGCTCTTTTCAGTCATGCCCTGGGACAGGACAAGGGGCAATGGACACAACCTGGAACATGGGAAGTTCCACCTCAACATGAGGAGAAGCTTCTTTACTGTGAGGGTGACAGAGCCCTAGGACAGGCTGCCCAGAGAGGCTGTGGAGTCTCCTTCTCTGGAGACTTTCAAGACCCATCTGGACATGTTCCTTTGTGACCTGCCCTGGGTGATCCTGCTCTGGCAGGGGGGGTGGATTAAATAATCTCCAGAGGTCTCTTCCAACCCTGACCATCCTGTGATTCTGTGATTCATTTGATAGGACAGGAGGGACAATCATCTGGCTGTTCTGGTCAGGACCAAGCCTCTGTATTTACACACATGGTGTCCTGCCTGAATGGGATGACCAAAAGGAAGCTGCTGGTGTTCTATGATACCTGCTGGGAGCAGGATGTCCAGGAGCACCTGAGGAAAGGAGGCTCTGTTGGTCACTTGGCAGCTGCACCACGTGCCAGGAGGTACCACCACCCAGTAGGAAAACTCTGCCCTGGAGACAGGGGGTGGGAATGGTACAAAAGCTCCTGAGCACTTGGTATGAGAGGAGCTGTGCAACCCTCTCCAATAAACAGCATATTTGGGAAGACAGATTTATTAGACATAAAACAGCCTCGGAACTGAAACAATGTGCACTCCTCATTCAAGTTCTGGTGCATAACTTGAGCCAAAAAAAAAAGACAAGCAAGCTAAAGATTCTCTTTCAATTTAGAAAGGTTGAAAGGAGGCTGATACAGAAGGTTTAGCTCAACTCACATTTGCTTTCTATGCCATTTCAATTTCAGCTTCCAAATTAGCTAATGGGACAAACCTATTCAAAATGAACTATAGGTGAGTTCACTCCACTGCTGGGAGCTTGTCCTAGTTTTCCTACAGTTGTCCTACACTTTGCAGGGTGACAGCTCCTCCCTTTTTGACTGGAACACTTGCAGACAACCCCTAGATCAAGTCAGGCTTGTCCTTGTAGAAGTGGGTGACTCTGTGGTTCTGTGCTGCTTACATCAAGTGCCCAGCTCCTCTGCTTTTTCTAAAGGTGAGCACAGACTCACTGACTCACACAGGTCAGACCTATCCAAAAAAAACCAGTCACTTCTATTTTCTGGCAGGTGATCATAGCAGGAAAAGCCCAGGCACAGAAAGCAGGTTGCACCTGGAAGAACTAGATGCTGGTAAAGAATTATTTGCCTGCAACAGAAGGAGCAGATCACAAGAATCATTTTGCTTGGTAAAGACCTGTAAGATCATTGAGTCCAACCATTAACCTAACAAAGAATCATTAAGGTTGGAGAAAACCTCTAAGATCACCAGGTCCAACCATCAATCCAACACCACCGTGCCCACTAAACCATGTCCCCAAGTGCCACATCTACAGGGTTTCTTAACACCTCCAGGGATGGGGAGTCCACCCCTGCCCCGGGCAGCCTGTTCCAGTGCCTGCCCACTCCTCCAGTAAAGAAATTGTTCCCAATATCCAATCTAAAGCTTCCTTGGCATAACCCAAAGCCATTTCCTCTAGTCTTATTGCTGACTTCTTGGGGCAGATCCAGCAGGGCAACGCATCAACTCATGCCTGAGCATTTTAAAACATCTGTAACCTCCAAGGAAGACTCCAAAAGAGGAACAGGAATATGAGTGTCCTAAGACAGAGCTGCCAGTCCCCAGTTTGCTCCACCAAATGCCAAAGAACTTGGGCAGCAATGCAAAGAACTTGATGGTGGGGGTAGAACAAGCAAGTGTGCTCTGAGCTATTTTCACTCCAACTTCTCCCAAATCCTCTCTTCCTAACACTGACCTTCCACAAGCTCAGCATGAGCTCTAAAGCAAGTTTCTTAGAAAAGCCTCAGCACAATTAGCTGTTTTGTTGTTTTATTTCCTTAGCTCTGCAAGAACAGAAAAGCCCCCACGCATCACGATGCCACTGGTAAAGGAAAACCACTGGGCAGAGTCCAACAGCTCCAGCAAAAAGGAAGTTACAAGTCTCCTTAGTGAGTCAAACAAATCAAAGGGGTTGCATTAATTAAGATAGAGGAAATGGCTCTGGTTAAATATAGTTTTATGTGTCTGAAGAAGGGCAACCAAGCTGGGGAAGGGTCTAGAAGTCTCAGGAGGAGCAGCTGAGGGAGCTGGAGGTGTCCAGCCTGGAGCAAAGGAGGCTGAGGGGAGACCTGCTGGCTCTGCAGCTGCTGAGAGGAGGTTGGAGCCAGGGGGGTCGGGCTCTGCTCCCCAGGAACAAGGGATGGGACAAGAGGAAAGGGCCTCAAGCTGCACCAGGGGAGGCTGAGGTTGGATCTGGGGAACAATTCCTGCCTGGCAAGGGTTGTCAGGGCCTGGCCCAGGCTGCCAGGGCAGGGGGGGAGTCCCCATCCCTGGAGGGGTTTCCAAGCCCTGGAGATGTGGTGCTGAAGGACATGGGGCAGGGGTGGCCTAGGCAGGGCTGGGTTGGATTTGATGATCTTAGAGGTATTTTCCAGCCAAACCTACTCTACAGTTCAGTGATACAAAGGGCAAATCCCTGCTGCACAGGAGGAGACACGTACCACTGCAGACAGAGGGACTGCAAGAGGGAAATCAAGTGTCTGACAGGGTAACAACCCAGAACCAGGCAAAGGATTTCAGAATATATCCTTTGGAAAGGATTGCTTTAAGCAAGTGGAGAACTTCCAAATAGATTGTTTGAAAACAATGGTTTTAGCAGTGAGCACACGGGACCATTTGATGTTCCCCTTTCCCATTATAGCCCACAGCATTTTGCTTCTTAACATCTGTGAACATCCCCTTTCTACCTATAAACACTCCCAGAGTGAAAAGCTGCAAACAGCAGGCAGGAGCTCTCCCAAAATATTACAGCCCTGCAGGCACAAACCTGGCCCTGGTCCAAGGGACAAACACCTTCACTCTCTTGCCGGGGATCTCAAAACTCCTTCCAAAGGAGATAATTTTTGGGGTTTGATTTACTTTTCAATTGTCTGGCAGAAAACTTTGCCATCTGTGGCACTCTGTTGCCTTTTGGGAAAATGATGCATTGAGCCACTTGGATGTCATGTGGGCCACAAGATCCACAGCTTCTCATCCTGATCTCCTCAGGCATGTTCTGACCACAGTGAAGCCATCACACTCATTAGGCTACCAGGGCAGTGACCCTAAATATTCCAGTAACATAGTGGAAAGGTTAGGAAGAATGTCTTCTTCATGCAGCAATAAAAATTAATAAATAAATCAGGCTGCTCCAAACAAAACTCAGTGCATCACTTAGGAAAGTCAGGTTTTCCCTCAAAAAGACAACCTGAAGGATCCCATTTCAAGACACTGGAAGAGCATCTATTCAAAACAGCCCTTGAATTCAAGCAAATTCTAAATTTGTAGAGTGCTTCTTAAAAGCCTCCTTGTTTGAGCATTCCAAACCTAATGCCCTCAAGTCCTACAAAGCCACATTCCTTGCTGACAGTCACATATGTCAAGGCTGCATCAGCAAACAAAGCCTGTTTGTGTTGTCCTGCTACTGGGGAGAAGGGAAAAAAACCTTCTGAGAAATGCCCTGCTTGGTGAAAAAAAGCTTGCAAATCCCCATCTGGGTAGCTCAAAGATGCAGTCAATTCTTAATTAAAAGATCTGGCTGCCAACAAAAAAAAAGAAATTGCTTCATGGCCAAGACCAAATAGGTCATATTTTGAAGACAAAAAGAAAGGAAGAAAGGGGCTTTGGAAGAAGATGCTGCCTCAACCCAAGGAAAACCTCAGCACTGCCTCCCTGTTGGCAGGCAACCCACTGCTAAGGATGGACAACCAAGCTGTTCTGGGCAGCACTGGCTCAAGGGGCTCATAAGGATTCACAAATTCAGAGACTGAAGCAAAATCACAGAGTGCTTGGGGTTGGAAGGGACTCTGGAGATCATCTCACCTGACCTCCCTGCCAGAGCAGGATCCTCTAGAGCAGATCCCACAGGAACACATCCAGGTGGGTTTGGAATGTCTCCAGGGGTGGAGATTCCACAATCTCCCTGAGCAGCCTGTCCCAGGGCTCTGTCACCCTCAGAGTCAAGAAGTACTTTCTTATATTTAGGTTAAACCTCCTGTGTACCTGTTGGTGCCCATTGCTCCTACTCCTGTCACTGGACACCACTGAGAAGAGTCTGGTCCCATCCTCCTGACACCCCCTGGAGATACCTATAAGCACTGATGAGATGCTCCCTTCAGTCTCTTCTTCTCCAAGGCTGAACAGCCCCAACTCTCTTTCCTCCAGTCCCTTCATCATCTCAGTGGTCTGTGCTGGACTCTCTCCAGTAGCTCCTTGTCCTTCTTCAACTAGGGAGCCCAGAACTGCACCCAGTGCTCTAGGAGAGGCCTCCCCAGGGCAGAGCAGAGCAGAGCAGAGCAGAGCAGCTCGATACTCAGCTCCACACCGCATCGCTTCTCCTCCTTTGGGGACAGATGCCCACACACAGCACCTGACTGAGCTGCATTCTTCCAAAAATCACCCTCACCAGCAAAGAGAAGCCACGCCTGAAGCTGAAGACTTCCTGAAGCAAGGCAAGGAGAAGAGGAAGAACCAAAAGGGAAGGCTGCCTTACCGCAGGTTGTAGGTCCTCAGGTTGCGCTGCCGCCGCTTGGTGGCCCTCAGCTTGACAAAGGTCCTGCCCGTCGGGTCAAAGACACACAGGACAGTGATGCAGACACTCAGGATGACAACCCAGTTGCACACCACCATTCCTGCCAAAAGACAGGAGAAATCAAATGCCCTGCCCATGCATCTTGGCAATGCCTCTTCCTGCTTGCCCCCAGAGCCAGCTCTCTGTGGCTGCAGGGCACAGAAGGTTACTCCCAGTCCTCCTGCAGCCACAGCAGGAAATCCTCTGGAAAGGCTCCTAAAGCACAGCTGGGTGTTCCAGCTGTTTTGGGAGACTGATCCTGCAGGCAGCCATTACATACTCACTGAGGATCTAAGGGGACTGCAACATTAGCATCAGCCCCACAGGAGACCGGCTGAGATGGCAAAGGAATTCCAAGAGAACAGTAAAACTATTTGGAACTGAAGAAGGGGAATCAGGTCTTCCAGACTCCCCAGCCAGCCCCTTCCATGGGAATGGGAACTCTTGCCTCAGTGCAGACAGCACAAACACATGAATAGAACAACTGTTCTGAGCAAGAAGGTCTCAGGAAAACAAGGACCACATTGACAGCTCCAATCCACTCCCAACAGCCCAGCCCCACATGGGTGAATGAACGAGCTCTCCAAGGCAAGAGGGTGTCTGTGCATCCCAGAGGAACACACAGAGAACATTCCAAATACTTACCCAAAGTGACACTCTTGGCTGTGATGTCGTTGCAGGAAGCATAGTACTGTGTCAGCCAGACAATGCCCACAATGGCATAGACAAATTCAATCAGCAAGATAGCTGGAACAAAAGGAACACAACAGAGAGTAGCAGCATCTCCCAAAGGATTAAGGACTTCCTCTCCCCACCTCCTGGGGAGGAAACCCACAGGCAGGTCCTTTAGCAGGACAGCTACACAGAATGACTACAGGAGTGGGCCCCAAGGCTTTGGAAGGTGATAGTCAAGAAAGTGAACCAGAAATGTGATGTGTCCTTAATGCTAATTAACTCCTAAACGACACAAGGACCACATGTGCAAAGAGCTGCCAGTGCCCTCGCCTCGATCAAAGGGGGAATCGGCCCAGAAACCAACCCTGTCTTGGGCTGCATCAACAGCAGCATGGCCAGCAGGGCCAGGGAGGGGATTCTCCTCCACTGCTCTGCTCTTGAGAGACTCCACCTGGAGAACTGGGTTCAGTTCTGGAGTCCACAACATAAGGAGGACATGGAGCTGTTGGAGTGAGTCCAGAGGAGGCCACGGAGATGATGGGAGGGCTGGAGCAGTTCTGGAGCCAGGCTGGGAGAGTTGGGGTGTTCAGCCTGGAGAGGAGAAGGCTCCAGGGAGACCTTAAAGCACCTTCCAGTGCCTGAAGGGGCTCCAGGAAAGCTGGGGAGGGACCTGGGACAAAGGCAGGGAGGGATGGGATGAGGGAGTTGGATTAAAACTGGAAGAGGGGAGGTTTAGGTGAGATATTAGGAAGAAATTATTCACCACAAGGGTGGTGAGACCCTGGCCCAGGTTGCCCAGGGAAGCTGTGGCTGCCCCATCCTTGGAAGTGTTGAAGGGCAGGTTGGATGGGGCTTGGAGCAACCTGCGCTGGTGGGAGGTGTCCAGGCCCATGCAGGCAGTTGGAACTGGGTGATCTTTAAGGTCCTTTTCAACCCAAACCACTACATGATTCCACCCATGACAGTGGAATCCTTCCCTTATGTTACAAGAATCCCATGTAACCACAGCACCCAGGGCTCGACCACCTCAGCCAGCTGCCCTGGTTCAAGTAGTCTTGTGTCCCCAGGATTAATCCTGCTTGCTACACTTAGCAAATGTTCCCAGCCCCTCTGTCCTTCGCAGTCCTTCCTGTAATAGCTCCCAGGACACAGTCCTTAAGGAGTTATTTACTGGCTCCTCCCTTTTGACCCTGGTAACAAGCAAGGACCTGAGGGTTGACAGCAGCTCCCTGGCAATGAACAGTTGGGAACCACAGCTCTGAAGTGCTCATCCTCACACTTAGTCCCTCACACATTACAACCCCAAAGTACAGGTGAGCAACAAGGTATGGAGAGGGTAAAGAGTTTGCTCAGCAATGTCTAGCAAGGCTTTGGTGGAGCTGAGACTAAACCCACCTTCCAGCCCAGTCAACTAATCATCCACCCTTCTCTCCATGCTGGTGGAGAACCTTTCCAGAAGTGGCTCCTTACAGACTCTCACTATCCTAGGAAGACCAGTTCAAACAGCTTTCAACAGCAGCAGGCAAGGAACCAGGGCTGGACCTGGCTCCTGATCAACCCAGCTTCTGTTCTTAAACTGAGCTAGACTTTGCCTACCTGGGCCTCTCTCCCCTCTGAGATTATCAGGAGCAGCAGCACAGATGAGACTTCCCTAGGTTAAAATTCCTTCTCTAAATCCATATGCACCAAATAGCACAAGCTTAAAATGGGACAGTCACATGGACCTTGCCCACACACTGGTCACACTCCTATTTCTATCACCAGAACTGATGAAGCCATTAGGAGTAAAAAGCCCCATGAAACAAACATATGCAAGACCCAAGATAGACTGTAAATACAGATCCCGAACACATGTCTCAGTTGAAGGCAGACAAGGAAGAAAAGTGGATGATTCTTGGGTAGGAAAATGGCTCTTTGCCTTCTCTCTCCCTCCCCTGGCCCATTTAGTCTGGTTTAAACACGGTGTTACTCAAGCTGTCAGGCTCTGGGTGCTTCCCCAGGGAGGCTGCAGCGTGTCTGGGAAACTGGAGAGAAAGATTTGTTTGCTATTCATGTGAACAATTTGCACTTAGCACTCAGAGGCAGAAATGTCTCTCAGACTGAGCTTTCAAGCAAGGTTACCCATCTTTTAGCAAATCCTGCCCCAAAACAATCCAGCAAAAAGAGAGATGCAAAAACATGAGATGCTCTGATTGGAATCAGCTTGACTCTGCATCTCCAGAAGATTCTTCTCTTGAAATCTTAATTCAGCACAGAATAAACTGATCAAGTGTCTGTGCCTGGAAGACAATGGAACAGAGGAGGGAAGACAAGCTAAAGAGGAAGCCCTGAATGAGAGATGAAGGAATCATCTCTCTTCTGATCTAGTTCTTGGTTGGTGAGGCAGAAAATGCTTTTTTGGAAGACTAGACCAAGAGAGAGGATGTAAGCAGGGAGCAGGTGGTAACCCTATTTATCTCGGGGTGCCTGGAGGTGGAGCATCCAAGTGCAGGTTGCAGGATGGAAAGATACATCCCATGTGAGTCAAGAGGTCAAGTGCATGTCTTGGGGTAGGTGGGTGTAGATTTCAGTGTCTGTATGACAGGCAGGGACCTGCACTTCCTCAGGGTGAGAACCACCATGATGTATAGAGCTGTGTGTTTGTATCAGAGCAAAATGTGGGCAGGGGAGGAAAAGGTGAGGGAGAGGTGTAGATGGATCTCAGTGTGGCAGCTCTCTGCTGGAAGACCAAAGGGGAGCATATTTTTGTGAGAGGAAAAGGCTGTACCTGCATGGCAATGAGGGTGACAAGCTCAAGGTTTGTTAGGAAGGTATTTGGGGCATTGCATGAGACTTGCAGCAATGCCAGGGTGCTGTACAGGGGATGTATTCAGATGCATATCACATCCCAGTGGCCATCTGGATGTCTTTCAGAAGCTGTGTGTTTGTCAGGGTGTGGGGAGAGAAGTCTTCTGCGATAGCAGATGGCAGTGTGGAGGCTGAGTCATGAGGAGGCCCCAGGCCCCTGCCTCTTACCCAGTCTGACATAGAGCACATACTGCATGGAGTCCCGGGGCTCTGTGTACAGGATGCTGCCCCTCATGCTGAGCCAGATGATTGCCACCTCTGCGATCATACAGCTGAGCAGGATGCCCAGGTAACCTCTGCCGTGGTCCACCAGGTTAAGCGAGCAGGTCTCGTTGGGGTTGTACACCAGCCCAAAGAGCACCACAGAGAGGATCACAAACCTGCCAGTCACAAACCAGCTTGTTACCAGCAAAGAAAGCTGCATGTAGTATCATCCCACACCTGCTCTACTCACAAAGCTACTGAGGACCCTCAGTGTCCCACAGCTACTTATAATTATTATTTGTTTGTTCTGGAATTCTCCTCCCCACAAGCCACCCAGAGGCTCTGCTACCGCAGTCAGAACAATTTGATGATCTGTGTCAAGTCACATTATCTCATGGGATCTGCCACTCCAGTTGTTTTTCCTGAGCCCCTGCACAGAAACACAGCCCCAGACTCCAGCGGGTAGCCCGGGAGGATGCAGGGAGCTCTGGTCATGCTCCTCCTTTGGAACTGGAACTAAAACTTCAAACCAAACTTATCCAAAGAACCAGAACTGGGAACATGCTGGTGTCTGTCACAAATGCCCCAAACAAGCCTTCCAGCTGCCACGTATAAGAGCGGGAAGAGTTACAGCTGCAAGAAACAGGAATAGCAAAAAAGATGTGCTGGGAGAACTGAAAGCACACTGATGGTGCCTCTCTCACTTACCAGGTGGTGTGCAGGAGGAAGAGGAAGACTGCTGGCAAAACCAGGTCATCACTGCCCACAGACCAGCGCCGGCGGAACACAACAATCCCTGGCATGGCTAGTGGGTCTGGGGGGGTCCAGCCGGCACGACACTCACCTCCTAGAAAAGAACAGAGTCAAAAATGCTGCTGAGCCTCCTCAACCCCCTGCAGGGAGCCCCACACCAGCAGCAGGACCGAGAACTGTCCTGTTACACCAAAGGTGAAGGAGCTTCTTCCTTCCAGCGGCAGGGGGCACGGCGTGCTCGAGGAGGAGAAGGACACACAGTTTAAAGAGTGGGAAGTATCAGGTGAAGCAGGTGGAGAACTCCCTGAACATAATCACCACTCACTCGGCTCCACTTCACAAGATTACTCAGAATCCTGTTAGGGCTGGGTGTTGGCAAGAGGTCACTGGGGGGTGCTTGGCCAGGATATCCTGACCTCAGCCCTAACGAGGGTCCTACTGCCAGCTTTTTCTCTTGTTGTCCCAACAGTTCCCTCCCTCCCTTGGCTCTGCAAACCAAAATACCCATTAGCACTTAGTGGTAACATTTGGGAAAGCTATTGACTTGGCTCCCAACAGCGAGCACTTAGAGCTGAGGGAGCAAGCTCCTAGGAGATCTCTCCCTTGCCCATGGGCTCCACAGGAGCCCCCTGCCAGCTCCACAGCTCCTTTGTGTTCCCTCTGGTCCTGACAGGCACTAACAATTCCAAGGTTGAATATGGAGGGGCTGGCTGTTCCTCCTCACATTTTGTTTGTAGTCCTCTATTTTTAAAGCTTCACAAACCCTGTAAAAACAGAAACAGCAGCAGCATAAAGTCACGAGACTCCACCGGGCTATCCAGACACCTCCTCCCCAAACACCCCTCCCACATCATTTCAGCTCTGCTGTCTATACTCCAACCTGCTCCAGTCCAAGTCCACCTCATCAGTCATCCCTGCAGCACCCCCTAATCCCTTCTTGCACTTCTTGCACAACACACTTCAACCACGACCCATAACCATGGTGGTTCTGCCACCCTCTGGTTTCTGAGCTCGTCTCTGCCCACAGGCACCAGTGATCCCCTGCCTGCTGCAGTCAGTCCTGTTCCTCTCTTCCACCCCCTCAACCCTGTCACACCTCTCACCTCCACCCTCCTGGGCACAGACCAGGGCCACATGCTGGCCTGTGCCACCATCTCAAGAGTGCCAACTTCTCCCAACTGGTGCACCTCAGTCTCAAATCACAGCCCTTCTCTTCTTCTAACCCCACCAGCTTCCCAACCTCCACCTTCAGGCCCTGCTGCCAGAGCTCTCCACCTATGCCCTGCAGTGACCATGCCACACCAAAGGTACATCCCCAAAGTAATACCTCTTCTTTGTACTGATCTGGCAATCTGCTCTTAGGGAAAAAAAAAAAAATCAAAGCATCAACACTTGTTTACTTACAATGTCATCAGAATTCCCAACAGCATTTCAGAGGGAGTATCATCTGCCACACCTCACTGCACCAGGCAAAAAACCCAACTAGTGTGTGATGTCTGTAATGTAGCGCTCAGAATAAAAAAGGGGAGGAGTGACATGATCCCATTTAAACTAATTTGAACGTTCAAAGCACCAGAAGTGTTGGTTTTGTAACAGATCACAGGCTGCATCACAGCACTCACTGCTGCAGCAACAGACGCTGCCTCACCCGACCCAAACCTGGTCACCAAGCAGGTGTGGTTACCCCATCACTTACCTCCTGTGCAGACCATCCCAAAGCAGAGGTGTCTCCTATACTGACACCCATGGCCAGTGGACTAGACATTCCTACCCATTTCAGCCAAGTATTGAAAACCTACACAACTTTCTCAGGCTTGCTGGGAGATGGCACACTTCAGGGGCTGACATACTTCCAGGATATTACTCACTTGGGTGAAGGAAACTCTGCATTCCCCAACCAAAGCCAATGTGGAATCACACCACCGTTTGGACTCACACTTCCTTAGCACATCCTCCTCGGAGCACTGGGAGCACTGCAGCTCTGCCTTCAAACTGCTCACTCCTCTGGCCATCTGGAGACTCCCTCTAGCCTTGCTGAAGCCCTTTTATTTGGAATATTGCTGCCCCTGCCCAGTGCCTGTGGCCACACTTGCCAACATACTCATCCCACCCTGCCTCCAGGCATGGCAGCACCTCCCAGCCAGGCTGTCCTCAGCTTAGGGCTGCATCCCACCAACGTGCTCTCCACAACTCTTCCACCTCTCAGACACAAGCTCTGCTTTCACCACCTTCTCAGAGTCAAAGAAGTAAGAGCAGCCAACATCTAATGTGATTCCTTATCTGCAGCAACAGGTGGGGACAAAGCAGAGCAGCCTGTCACTCCCTGTCACCCAGCAGAATCCTTACTGTGGGACTGTCACTCCTGCCTGTATGTCACCAGGCTCCTGGTCCACCACAGAAACAGTCCCAATTCATTGTGCAAGACTGTCTAGTGAACAGCTAAACTATGATGTCAGGGTCCTTGCTCCCAGTTTGGAAAGAAGGGAGGTGACAGAAGGCCTGAGACTGTAAAGCCCACCAAACAAAACCAAAGCTGTCAGTGTGAGGACTCTCTGGCTTCATCCCAGAGTAGCAGATCCCAAGATTTTAAGATGAAGATACGACTAACAGAGGAATTGGGAGGGAAGTGGAAGGTCAGAGTGCAAACAGCCCCGAGACCACTGACCCTAGTTCTGCAACAGCAAGAAACCCTTGCACTGCCCCTAAAAATCACTGCAGAGAGTGAAAAATTCCCCCAATCTTCAAACCTGAGCCCCACTATAAGAAGCCCCAAAAGCTCCCACCACTGACATTAGGGAGAAGCACATGCAGGAAGAAGCTTTGTGTGCAAGGAGTCCAGAGCCCTCAACCCTCAGACCAGCGAAAGATCTACGGAAGCAGAAATCTTACACGGCACGTGATCCAGCTGCTGCACATCCTTCTCTCCCGTGAGGGTATTGCAGGAAAAGTGCAAGGAGACAAGCCTTCAAAAGCCAAGGAGGGAACAGCAAACTCTTCTTGCAGCCATTGCAAATCCTGGTCGGCAAAGGGAAGGACAGCTCGGTGCCTCCTGCCTGCCCACTGAGCCGGGCAGCGTCCTCACTGCATCTCCCTCCTTCCTTCCCTCCCAGGCAGCCTCTCTCCAGCTTCTCTCCAGCCTCTCCCCAGCCAGGCTGCCGAGAGCCACCCCAAGGGTCGTGACTCCCCCTTCCACACCCCCCGGCACCCTCTGGAAGGAAGTGACATCATCCCTATTCTGAGGAGATTTGGACGTGAATTGTGGGAAGGAAGACTTGGGCGATGCTGCCAGGGATGCAGAGACAGGAGAGAAGGAAAACCCTCCAGCAGGAAGGCAGCAGCACCAACCTCCTCCCCTTCTTGCTGCCAGGAAGGACCTGGAGGCAGCAAATCAGGCTCATCCCGGAATTCCTTTGGGCAAAGGAGCCAGAGCAGGGCTGGGAAAGGCTGAGGGCCACTGGGCTCTCCTCTGGCATGTACTGAATGGCCAAGAGGAGGAGAATTGGACAGGACACAAAAGGGGCACACAGAGGGGGCCACCCTGGTGACAGAAAGGAGAGACTGTTCCAGAGGAACAGCCTCTCCCGGGTCTTTTCAGCCGTTAATTCCTTGTGACACGCTCCGGGGTAGGACAGGATGTGGGGGCAGGGGAGGATGAGCTGGCTGGAGGGGCAGGCTTAGAGAAAAGAGCAAGGGTGAAAAATGCTACAGCCAGCCAACGTTCCAGCTAAACCTGAGAGATTTAGTCTAATCCAACGTCCCATCAGGGCTGACATTAGCCTCAGAAGAAGGTACACAAGTACAGCTGAGCACAGCCTGAGCTGCAGGGAAAGGGCTGCGTGCACCACAGGAGACCACCCACAACCTGCCAACACCCTGGGAGAGAATCAGCTACTCCCCACCCCCCAAAACCAACGGCAGGACTTGCTTTAGGCTCACGGCATCACACAGACACGCCAGGCACATTTACACCCAACAAATGAACCCCTGCAAACCCTCTCAGCCCTGGATCACATGGGCTTGCAGGCTCGCTCAGCATCCCCACCTCCATCACCCAAAACATCACCTCCTGGTCCTCACTCAACCTCCTGCAGTTCAGACCATGGTGTGCTCATTCCTGTCAAGCAGAAGATGGGAGGCCAACACCATTGGATCCATCCATGCCAACAGTTTCTTCTCACTGGTGATGTCTGCACAGAGGCTGTAGCAAGAGGAAGCCCTGCTAGCCCAAACCACTCACCACCTACTTCTCCTCTTGGCCCAAAATGGTGACCTCCTTGCAACTTGACACAACCCACGTATGACAAAGCAATCCCATCTCATCTGTGTTTCATACTTGCCAGCACCCTCTTTCAAGCTGATCTCCCCAAATTCTGCCTCAGCTCCAGAGTCTCACAGTGTTATTTACCCAATCTCTCCCAAAATAGTAACTGTTCAACACCCCATGACCTTCTTCACCTTCATGGCTCAGGGCTACAGGAATCCCAAAAGAAAGGGGACCTTTAGGTCTTAGCTCTGTAGATGGTTGCAGAGTCACTAGAGGACAAAGCCCTTTGTTGTCCTGCAGAAATCCAGGTTGTGCACTGGCACACTGATCCCCCCAGTTCCTGAAGTCCTGGATGACGTGGTGTCTGGACACCACCAGAATAAATCCACCCAATTTGGTCCTCCAGAGCTGCCTTCTGCCTCCTGCCACACGAGATGGCAACCCCAGGTCCTCCTCCACAGCACTGCACAACCCTCCTCACCTCCTATCAACAGAACCATGGTCTGTCCCTTGCTGATGTCCCGCCATGTCCCCTTTCTGAAGTCATTTATTAGAGTTACTGAAACTCTCTGCACTTCTTGCAGCCACCAAAGTGGTTTTATACTGAAGTGAACTAAACCAACAGCATTTAAAAATAACATTTGTCAAATTTAGGTGAGCCAAGATGATATCCAGCCCAGCTCCTAGCCCTTCAACATCTGCTGGTTCATAAAACACGTATCTTTCCCCTGAAATTGCCCTTCATTAAACGGGGTTCCAGCCTGTGGGGTTCCTGAACCCCACATC